GTGAGACTTTGACAGCAGGAGTCAAGACCGACATCCTTAGTCAGGATCCACTCTGCTGTCCAGGCTCTTGTCTTTTGGATCCTGTTGTGCTTTGAGTCCCTAAATTTCCCCCCTGAGTTTGAATGTTTTTCGTCCTAGGTGGCCCGTAAGCTGGTGATCCTGGAGGGAGAGCTGGAGAGAGCTGAGGAGAGGGCCGAGCTCTCAGAATGGTAAAACCAGCAAACACACAAACATGAGCATGAAGACGCACATGTCCACACTTGAACACTTTTGCATTAAAACAATATGCCGGCCTCTCTTCACAGTAAAGCCAGTGACCTGGAGGAGGAGCTGAAAAATGTGACCAACAACCTGAAGTCCTTAGAAGCCCAGTCTGAGAAGGTGAGAGTGACATTTGAGTACATTTACATATTTATATAAATAAAAAATGCAGCTGCCTGTAGCAGACCTTGGTTTTTTTTTATCCAGCAATGTTCAAAACAAGCATTGTGTCAGGATTATGTGTAAGGCTAGCCAAAAACTGTGAGTAAAAACCACTTGTTTTCCATGCCAGGATGCATTCACTGAGTCTGACAATGTTTTGGCCTGCCGAAGACAAACATATCTGTTCAAAAAGCATTGGTGGTAAAATGTAATTTCCTAACCATATTGCTTTATATTATGGCAGAGAGTTGCTTTCGTTCTCTTTCACAGACACACAACCTAAATATATACAACAGTATATACTGGACACCAGGTCTGGCAGCCCGCACATACTCATCTCCACTTCGCTGTATCCTATCATTTGGGCTGTTCTCATGGCTCAGGGGACAGTAATTTGAGTGTGTAGGGAGGGATACCACATCAACAAAGTATTGTTTCATACTACCTCCATTATAATTGTGTATCATCAGGCCCTACTTACAACACAACCATTTATTTTGCCCTCAGGTTATCTAAATGAAGACCTGAACATATCAAGAGTATAAGACCTGAACTCCTTTGACACAGAGATGTTTAAATATATGTTTGCACAATAACTTATCAACCACACGACAAATTAGCCTCTGAGGCTGCTTTTTTATCATGCGGGGGTTAATAGTGTTTCACTATACACGAACCAGCAGCCAGTAGAGACCTGCAGTACATTCTTCCTGTTTGCAAGATTACATTCCTCCCCAGGCACAGACAGGCAGTATGACGGCATGCCAGGCTTACCACATGACCGCTCTCCTTCAGCAACACATGCCTTTGCTTTGTTCAGTCAGGTCTGCCATGGTTGGCATCACAGCGAAACCTGTTCCCTGGCCAACACCTCGTGTCTTTTCGTGCCACTACCTTATATTTCTCTCCTTTAAAGGAGTGGTGCAGCTATAATTTTAATATATCTTGAATGTCAGAATGTATTCACACTGTTAGGTGAAAGCATGTGCGTATTTTTGCCACTTACTTGGTAACGTCATTTCTGTGTCTCTGTCAACAGTACTCAGAAAAAGAAGACAAGTACGAAGAGGAGATCAAAGTCCTGACTGACAAACTGAAGGAGGTGAGATCCTGATTCTAGTGATTCCACAACAAAAGGAAAAGCCACAAAAAAAAAAGCTGCCTCTGATGACATTAGTGTATACGGGATTCGTTTAGAGGGAAGCACTTTTGTCATACTTGGGATGGGCAACACAATTGGGTGGTGGTATACTACACATGTATGTATGTATGATGTAACTACAGCGTCTCTGGGTCAAATTTGGCTGAGGACCTTTGATGCATGTCATCCTCCATCCTCTCTTCCTACATTTCTCTCCTAGTTTTATTCACACACTTAAGATTGGTTATTTTTATTACTAAATTGATTATTTAGCTGGTTGAGCTTATTCTTTTTATCAGTTTAATATGCGTATGCTTTAAAAACCTAAATGTCAAACTTGTCATTTTTATGATTACTTGCTGTTGAAAAGCAATGGGTGTCCACTCTTGAATGTTGAATTCACTACATTATAGCGTGTTTCTTGTACAATGTAACATACTGTTTCTGTGTCTGTGTCAGGCTGAAACCCGTGCAGAGTTTGCAGAGAGGACAGTGGCCAAACTGGAAAAGTCCATTGATGACCTGGAAGGTATGAAATCAGTACCACTCACATGTCATAATGTTGCAGATTTGCACCAAAATATACATTTTTCATATAAGATAAAAAGGCAAAGGCAGTTCAATCGGTCAATAGTGTGACTGGCTTTAAATGAACAACCCGTCATCTGGAGCGAAGGATGCAAGAAACATGTTGATGAACCACATGCAGATAGTTACATGGAGTTTCCTGTAGGTCAGGGACTAAATCTAATCATAATCCATCTTAATGCACACACACACACACAATTACATTCAGTTTGACAAAGACCCCAGAAGGAGTGTCCTATTCCAACACTGGAAATATTTTCTGTGGAAGAGAAAGAGCCAGATGTATGGAAACTCCTTACCTAAGACAAGCTAATAAAAGACCCTTGTTTCTGAAGGACAACTAGTCCATGTCAGCCAGGCTGCAAAGAGGACAGAATGTGCTCAGATGTTTTTAGGTCAGCATTATTTAGTTGCAGAACCACAGGCAGCTGAGTTTATAGAGTTATTGGTGCAGTTTTATGAGAGATTCAGAACAAGCTTAAATGCTCAAAGCTCACCGAACTAAAGAGCTGAAAGCATAATTAGATGTGCATCATTCTTTCTTCCAAGCATTTCTGCATCTTTAAAAAGCCTGACCTATTTTTTTTGTCTTCTCCTTCCTCCCTCTCCTCTTTGCCTCCATCTGTCTCTCATTCTTATCCTGCTTTTGGCTTGTTTGTGTCGTTGCTGTCCTTGACACCTGCCTGCACTTCCTGTCGACCTCTGACCTCCAGATGAATTGTATGCTCAGAAGCTGAAGTACAAGGCCATTAGCGAGGAGCTGGACCATGCCCTCAATGACATGACATCTCTGTAGATGCTCTCTCTCTCTTTCTCTGTCTTTCACTTCCCTTTTTCCGTCTCGTGTTCGGATTCTCCAGCTTCTCCCTGTGGATCATACATGTGCCTTCCTCCCATCTTACTATGCAGAAAAAAAATAATTAAAATCTTTTTTCTTTCCTACTTCACAGCTTTTTGTCTCTCTGTTCTTCATAATTCATACAAGCTGTATATTGTAGTAAAACATTTGATGCATATCCTCAGCTACATTGTGTACATTGCAATGCACTCTTTGGCTTTTGTAATTAGGCAACCTGCAGTTTGATCTTAATGTACATTGTACATCTTATTATAAGCAAGTGTATGCGAGACAAGGTGAGAGATTTACTCTGGTTTTGGTGTGAATTAATGCAATTTGCTGCCCCCCTTTGACCCCGTAAAACACTATTTTGGTTGTAAATCTAACTTTAATGGTGTCTGATTTTATACATTCACGTGTGAATAGTACAGATATGAACACTATTTACACAAAGGCTGCATCTAATACAACGAATGACCCCACAGTGTAGCATACAGGTCCTCTAAAAAGTCCATACTGTAATCTACTAACAGCCGTCAGGCAGACAGCAGCAGTGAGCAGGTTATGCATGAAAGGCACAGAGGTGTGGTTAGATTTTTTTGCATGATGCACAGCTTAACCATTAGTTATATGCAAAACAGCTGTTCAGTAAAACAGTGCTCTGTGCTGCTTTACAATGGATGTTGTTTCAAGTAATGGTTGAGGCTTTACCATGTCACTTTTCTTCCTTTTCTCCAGAGAAATTATCACATGCCAAAGAGGAGAATCTGGGCATACATCAAGTCCTGGACCAGACCCTGCAGGAACTGAACAGCTTATAAACACACAGAGAGGAAACTGGAGAGGATGAGATCGTCACGTAACATTCCTTCAATGTTCGACTCCATTCCACATTTCGAGCTGTAAAATCTTTATTCCCCGTGAGAAGGGGGATTAACTTAATGCTTGTCCCTTGATGTTTTTTTATTTTTTTTCTAAGGCACAACTTTCTTTTTTTTTTAAAGATGGGAAGTTACTTTCACCACATCGCTTCTTTTTTTTATTTTTATCTCCAGCTGTGATTGCAGAAATTCTCCCCAGAAATAATTTTTGACCACTCCTTTAAAAAGAACTGGCAATTATTACACCCATAAGAAAATCTCAGATTTGGTCCCTAAACCACTTAAACTGGCTCAGTTTTACATTTTATGTGCACATACATTAAGCCTCTGTCTGATTATTTTAATACATATGCTGCAGATGGCGTTGGGGTTCGCTCAGTCTACATTAGTGCCACCCAGTGGTGATGTGAATTTAGGCATCAGTTTCATTTTTCTGATCATGCTGTACAAACTTAAGAGGCTACAAGTTAACAGACATTTGACTTCTCTGTGCCTGCCTTTGCAGTATCCTCTTAAATCTGTAATCTCTAAATCTCTATATTTGTACGGCATGGTCAAATGGACAGGTGACCTTATGGAAAGGTTTCACTTATACACAGGTCAAAGCACATGCTGCTCAGTCACTCTAGGCTTCCTTACATTTAATTAAAAAACTAATGCCTCTTCTGCCAATCCCCAGTCATCCTGAGGCCTACATGTTGGAGATGCACTGGATATTTATGTGCATCCAGCTTTACTACTCTCTCTCTTTGGTGTGGGAATCTGTGCAGAACCTGGGAGCTGTGCATGTATAGTATCTAGCAGTGACCTGCATCTCTAAGCTGTACTACCTTCCCCTGAGCTTGACCTGACCGTAGACACTTTCAGCAACATTGCCAACAATACGCCATAATGTAGCCAATATTTACTAGATTTACAATTTATTATTACATGAGCGAGCTAAACCCCAAACCACTGGAAGCTCAGTCAAGTTTTAATAACCATGGATACTTATTGTATATAGTAGAATAATGTTAGGTATATGATAAATTGTATTGCTTTGATTTTTTTTCTGGGTTTGTTTCATTTACACCACTTTTTTTGCCAAGGGAACTCTCCAAAGACCAAAGAACACGCATAACACAGACAATAAATTCTTAAATTGTTTTATTTCTTTTTTGTTTGTGATGGTCATCATGGTTTCATCTCATGCCAGGGCCATGGAAAGCACCTCACACGTGATCAAGACCATTTTGAAATGTTTCATTCACCACCACCCCCCCTCTATGTCAACCTAATAAATGTTTTACAGAAATCATGACTCATCTGACTTTTTTGTGCATTTGGATGATTAAAAAACATGTTTTACTTTGTCAATAGAAGTAATCGTAACTACACGACATTAAGTGCTTCATTTTGTTAATCAGATATACATAGAATTAAATCTGAGCATATAATCACAATGTCTTCATGTATTTAAGTTTATTTTAAACTTGCATTGCTCCTCTCTTGCTCCGTCCAACGAAACCCCACAGGGGGATGACATTTCTCTTAGCCACATTTAAAATCATGAAGTTTGAGGCTCACACTCATTTATCCATGGTCCAATCTGCTGCCTGGGGTGTTTTGTTAGATTTCTGATCAAGAAATTTTCTTTCTGAAAGCACAGCCTAGACAGACGAAAATCAAACATTTTAATATCGCAGGTAAAAGATTTTTTTTAATACAAAATACTTGTTTTGTGACATTTTCCTCACCTTCAGTTAGTCTGCATTTCCCTCCTCTTGGCTGGCAAAGGACTAAAGAGCAGCCTGCACAGGGAACCACTGTCTGAGAATGGCTGAAGATGGTGGTGATCCTGTAGCAGCCTGACAGAGTATTTAAAGATAAATAAGAATATGCCACTTTAAAACACATAATACAATATAAATATTAATTATAATTATCAGTGAGGAAATTATACATGTGCTACAGTTCTTACCTGTGCACTTAACATCCATGAAGTAGGAGTTGGGACTCTGCACCAGCCTCTTCTTCTTGTGTCTTATCCTCTCCATTGCAAGGCTGGGGTGCATCAGATCCTTAGCCAGCTGCAACAGAGATCACAGCATGATTACATTAGTCATTTTAAATAATGCAGTAAACTTTATGTGTTTTTATTTCACTTATTAACTGGATGATGAGTTTTGGTTATACTCTAATGCCCCCTACTGTCTGATGGATAAATTGTTAAAGCAAGTACACAGACATGTCCAGGCAAGCCCGGGCATTATTCCTGTCAGCTGTATACTCAATCCAGATTATAATAATGAGTTATAAACACATTTAGGCATATTGACGCTGCACACCTCACGTAACAATGGACTGATGTATATTTCTCATTATGTTTATATTTATTAACAGTTAATAACAAACTATTCGAGCAGCTTTCTGACAAACAGAACATTCAATTCTACAGGTTCAAATGTTGTTACCATAAAAAACAGAGACTAGAGAAATATAAAGATTTTCACTTACAGGCATTTTGGCTGAAATCACTTTTGTGAGTTTTGGTCCAATGTAAAGAAGATGCAGTAAGTGCGGTGTTAACGTTGAGGTTAGTTTGTTGTTGGATTGATGAACGTGTTGGTTTCAGTACCGGAGGAGATCGAGGAGGCGGGGTCTGGGTCTTTAGGGGAGGCGCAACAGATTATTATAGTGGCTGAAGTGGTCCATGTGGAGTACATAATAATGTTACTTTAATAATTATGTTAATAAACAGCACAAACGCTGTAAAACCAGATACGTTCATTTAACAAAATGAAAAAAATAATGAATTGAACCAAAAATGGTTGAAACTGATTATAGCCTACTGATAATATCTGTTTTTAGTAAAACTAACCATATTTTGTTTTTAAAAAAACAACATTCTTGATAAAGTAGTTTTAGTCATTTTAAGTTTTTTTTTGTATTATGAAAAATAACCTAATAAAAAGTACTTTATCAAGAATGTATTTTTTACATAGAAAATAGAGTTTGTGTTACTTAAAATCTTCAATATAATCCGCTTCAGATAGATAGATAGATAGAAAGATACTTTATTTATCCCGAGGGAAATTCAAGTATCCAGTAGCATACAAAATACAAAACATACATTAATGAATCATTAAAATATCAAATATAAAATATTATATATATATAAAATTAACAGTAGCTACAGTAAACAGTGCAAACACTCAACACTTATTTCTAGTTAAAATAACTTCTCACATCACAGTAAGAGAAACCACTATGAATGTCTCTAACTACCTCAGTTTCACAAGTAGAAATGTGGTCTGAACATAGAAAAACTGAAACAACCCTTTTCCTTAACGGCCTTTAATCTCACATTATATCTAGTACCTGTCAGATACTTCTAGTAGAGCAATAACGTCAGTCTAAGTTCCCCTTAAACCTAATGGAAAAGGAAACTAACACAAACCACAGATAGAAATCACTGGTAAACTAAAGTCAGTGTTATTTCGGTTGACCACAGCACACAAACACCGCCCAGTGCACCGGTTGCTCAGATCTCCACACGTTGCGAATGTCAAACATCGTCTCATTCCGGGTGACCTCAGGCATCGAAACGAGCACACCCACCGGCATGACGACGGACTTCCGTAGCCACGACGACAGAGCAGAGTGACAGTTGATTCGACCAAAAGGCCGCTCGCGACCAGTGACGTCTCTGTGTGTGCGCGCAGCGGGCGGGATATCCGCAGTAGTAAGCTAACTAATAACATGGCGAAGACTTACGATTACTTGTTTAAACTACTCTTAATCGGCGACTCGGGCGTCGGGAAGACCTGCGTGCTGTTCAGATTCTCAGAGGATGCCTTCAACTCAACGTTTATCTCCACTATAGGTGCGTGAAAAGTCGCGTTATTAGCGTTGTCTTTGCCGAAAAGTGGCACCGGAGCTGCAGCCCATCCCGTCGGGCTAATTTTGGTGCTAACTTTTCTGCCTAGCGTTCATCTCGCTGTGGCTAGTCAGGAAGCAGCTTGTTAAGAGGGGCTGTTTTAGAAACGACAGTGGCATTATAACCCGTAGAAAGCCCCCCTGTGTGTGTGCAGTACAAGGGCTGTTTATACATATTACATGTATTACATATGAGCTCTGGCAGGCTGAGCTGACGAGCCTCAAAGCTGTCAGTGAGCTAGTTGGCAGTGTCAGTTTTCATATGTACTTCGCACTCTGGTAGACAACGTGACAGAAAGTGTTTATGAGGTTTCTAACGACACACATTCATGTTTTTATCAATGGGGTGCTGAGGTGCTTTCAGATACAGGTGACAGATGTGCTAAAATTGGCCTGAATCGTGTGACTTTTGTTTTTCCTCAGGTATTGACTTCAAGATCAGAACAATAGAATTAGATGGGAAGAAGATCAAGCTACAAATATGGTAAGATAGTCAAACATAAAATGCTTTTACTTCACAACTTGACTAATATGAAATAAGAAATGTTCAGAGATAGATGGCAATTGCTTTCAGTCTCCAGTTTATTGGGTATATCTAACTAAGACTAATGCAGTCTAATCCAATAGCCCTCCAATATAATAGTGTAATAAAACCAATCTGCAATAAAGCCTGTGTTAGTTTAAGCTGGGTGTAACAACTTAGTTTATATGGCTGTTGTATAACATAACGCAAAGTGGTTTTTATTTTTTAAAATATACCCTATGGTGAGGTGATATCTTTAAAATTAAGTAACAGTAATTAAGTTAATAACAGTCTTCTGATGGTAGAAGACTGTAAAGATTCAAATAAGTAACAAGGCACAACTGAGGTTTCCTGTGTTTAAAACTTTGTACCACTTTGTTTTCTTCCCTTGACAACACTGCTGACTTCATGGGTTTCTTTGATTTGATATAATTTTAAAGTTTAGATCATTGTGTCCACTGAGCACTGATGTGACAACATTTTACCAATATATCCTCAGTAAATACGATTATAGTAAAGGAATGTTTTTGTTAAGTTGCTTAATTGTTGTCTTACCAAAGCTGAAATGGAGATCAACGTCTACTTCATTTCTCTGTTTCTAATACAGAGGTAACTTGTGATATATTCGCTCTTTTACCATTTAGCCTAATGCTGTCAAAGTTGTATTCCCGCACTATAAACCTGACTTATTTACACTCTTTATGTGTCTTAAGTACTTTTAAAGGAAAATGAAACATTGTGGTTTAAAGAGTAGTTTGCTTTGGTGCTGTGTCATGACCACCAACAGCTCTGTGACTGCATGAAGTCTTTCACAAGGCCTCGCCTCAAAGATGCTGGTTTTGCAATTTTCAATTTTTTGCAAAACCCAGCTGGCTCTGGAGTTGGTTATGGTTTTTAAAAAAAAAAAAAGTTTGACTAGAAATGTAAAGATATGTCGGTTAAATTGTCACTCAAATATGTGAAGATTCGAATTAGAGAGGTGAAAAATGTATCCTGGTACTTTTAAACAGCAGCGGGGACTCTCTACTTTGACGTCCTATGTTACTTGCGTCAGTAGCTACAACAAGGCACAAAGACAGTTTCACTTTTACAAAGAAAAAGGAAATATGCATGTTTTTTCACAGTTTATGTCCTACCTCAAGGATGTCCTTGGTCAAGTGTACTTCTTCACTTTTGTTTTTAATTGTGAAACAATCATATTGTGAGTTGAGTTTATCGTTACAGCCCCATTTTTTCGAGGCTCTTTGCTTAATGCACAGAGATGAAATTGACATTGATCTTTTTAAAAGATCTACTGTCAGTAACATAATAACTAATTGAATTTCCCAAAAATATTAAGTTTTCCTTTTAAATCACGAGAAAAGATGCTTTGTGCAGGGCAGCGTGGTTCACTTTAGCTAGGTTCTGCGAAGCAAAGTTAACAAAAATATGTGTTTTGTATGTAGGGATACAGCAGGACAGGAGAGGTTCAGGACCATCACAACGGCCTACTACAGAGGAGCCATGGTAAGTTGCAATGTTTGCTTTGTTCCTCATGTAATAGTGTAGATTATCTCTGGGATCTGAATGGGCGAAATAGTGGCCATCCCAAGTTTGCACACTGAAACTTAAATCTCGACCAGAACCACACCCACACCCAGTATTGTTGTTACTAATTTTATACACACCTGGGAAATCGGAGGTGCGCTCAGAGCATTGTTTTCTTAGCCTCTCCTTTAGTTCAAGTTTAACGGGTTGCCTGTGTTTGCATTTTTTTCAGAAGCCTAATTGATCCTTGTTGCCTTTGGTGTTCAAGTGCCTTTACTTGAGGCTGCAAAATCTTGTGATCCATCACTAATAAAAACTGGACACACATGGAAAATCCTATTAGACACTCAATGTCCAAAACTGTCTCTATGGAATAATGAGAATTAGGGAATGATTGTGGTCTGGCTACTTTGTTTTCTCATGTCTTTTCCTCTCTGAACTCACCAGGGCATCATGTTAGTGTATGACATTACCAATGAGAAGTCCTTTGACAACATCAAGAACTGGATACGGAATATAGAAGAGGTAAAATATTCATTAGTGAATATGTGTAGGTGTGTGTTTGTAGTGATATTTACCTGTTCTGTGTTTTATTTTTTTGTTTTGGTATTTATCTTTTACAAAGAGCCATAAAGTATGCACAACTCTAAACACACTAATTCATTTCCTGTGTTCACATTATGATCCTTCCCTCCACAGCATGCTTCAGCAGATGTGGAAAGGATGGTCCTTGGGAACAAATGTGATGTCAATGACAAGCGACAGGTGTCCAAAGACAGAGGAGAGAAGGTGATACATTTAACAATGAGATTAAAGCCTGTAATCTCACTCTATTTGGATACATATTTATTATTTTGGGTCTCATCATGCCTGAATGCTGACACTGACTGTCTTTCTCCTGCTGTCAGCTGGCGCTGGAGTACGGTATCAAATTCATGGAGACTAGTGCAAAGGCGAACATCAACGTGGAGAATGTGAGTTCACAGTTGTTTTTTGCTGATATCTGCTCATAGTTAAAAGTATTATTGCTGGAAGCCAACCTTGTACCTTCATACCTTTCTCCTATGTATATGTTTTGGACCATTTCTGGTCCAGGCACAGGAACTAGGGAGGTACCGATACCGAGTCCTGATCCGATACTTGTATTTTCTTTACACTTCAAGTCATAAAAATCAATCAATTTTATTTGCTTGACAATTATGTATATGTATATATGTATATATGTATATATGTGTATATATATATATATATATATATGTATATATGTATATATATATATGTATATG